CTTTGGGTAACCCGAAGACGAAATCCATTGAGATGGATTCCCAGCACTCAGCCGGAACTGGTAGAGGCTTCAAAGGTGCACGCAGTGAAGGACTTGACTTCACTCGTTGACAGACTTCGCAGGCGCGAACGTACTTGCGCACAAACTGATACTGGCGGGGCCAGTAAAAGTCTCGACTCACCGTGAGATATGTTTTCTAACGGCCACGATGTCCTCCTATAGGAGCATCGTGATACGCGAACACAATCCGCAAACGCAGATCAGTATCATCTGGGATGACAACACGTGGTGTGTCACCAGAAACGGCTGTATAATACAGTAAACCGTTGCGAGTAGTGTATCGATCTGATACAGATCGATACACAGACGACAATCGTTTCAACGATTCTCGAGATGGCTGGGAGAGATGTGTCAACAACTTCACAATCTCACCATCTTGGGCATACGCCCGCCTCACATCATCATGCAACGTTGAAGATGGCATTGTAGACGTCATAACCGCAACAGTGGCTGTCCCACTGTTGGGTCTCACGACTGGTTCAAAGTCGGGACGACGTGAGAGTGCATCAGCGACGGCATTTAATCGTCCTAGTTTGTACTCAACCGTAAAGTTGTATTCTGCAAAGAATGAAAACCACCGCGCCATTCGTTGTGAAAGGTGCGGGCTGTTCACTGCCGTGCGTAATGACGCATGGTCAGTGTAAACAATGAAGGGTCTATCTCCTAATAGATAGACTCTGAGCTTCGCGAGTGCATACTTCATGGCAAGGAGTTTATTTTCATGCACTGGATAGTTCCGCTCAGCTGGTTGCAGCTGACGCGACTGATAGCAGACGACGCGTTCAACGCCTTCAAGATCGTACTGCATTAATGCACAGCCGATTGCGAAATCGCTGGCATCACAGACCACATGAAATGGCCTGTCCTGATCGGCTATTGCTAGGACTGGGGATCGTATCAAGCTCAGCTTGGTACTATCAAAGGAGCGCTGACATTCAGCGTTCCATAACCACCTCTCGTTCTTTTCAACAAACTAGAGAGGTGTACAGTCATCTCGACGTAATTGCGTGAATACTTATGCAAATACGCCGCTAGCCCAAGAAATTTTCGAAGACCTTTGACATCAACCGGCACAGGCCAGTCGGTGATCGCCTTGATCTTTTCGGGATCAGGACGTACACCGTTCTTACCAAAGATGCACCCAATAAGTGGTATTTTGCTTGCTGCAAATATACACTTCTTGAGGTTTGCATACATGCTTTTGCATGACTGTAAGAACCTGTCGGACGTGGTATCTGTGAACCTCAACGCCTGACTTTCCATCCATAGCTCGACTATGGATGAACACGTCATCGAAATAACTCGGCGCGAATTCTCGTACTGGTCTCAACAGATGTGATACACATCTGTTAAACGTGGCAGGGGCATTACTAAGCCCTTGTGGCATTACTAGCCATTCCCAGAGCATGCCGCTAGGCGTGCTAACTGCGGTATAGGGTATGTCCCGTTCTCGCATAAGGATTTGATAGAAGCCATCCATCAAATTCATGGACAAAAAGATGGTACTCTTTGACATACCATCAATGATTACGTCCTTCCTCGGTATCGGCGTCCGAACCGGTACCGTTGCAGCATTCAACTTGTTAATTGCATGCACTATCCGCCACCCTCCTGTTGCTTTTCGCACACAGAAGATCGGAGAGCTATGTGGGGAAGTTGATTCCCTCACATGGCCCGCAGCTAAACGATCGGCAAAGGACTTGTCGATCGCAAGTACTTGTTCACGAGGCAGTGGTCACTGCTTCATGACACAGTACTTCGAGTCTGGTTTAAGCTCGACCTCGTGTCGAGTACCTTTATCCTTCGGTAATTCGCACGGAACAGTTTCAGGGAATACATCCTTGAATTCAACCAAATCTTCATAGAGAGGATTTTTCTTGAGCGATTCCCACGATTGGGAGTCATATCGCTCAATTCGTGTCTTTTCATCTAGGACACTCTCGTCCATAGATGAACTACTGAGAACTCTCTCGTTCTCAGTAAACACTGTTGCTGACCTTATGTCGGCTACACACTCGTCGTCAGCGACGAGTACGCAGATCTGTTTGACTTTACCACTACGCAGATCACGCAAGAACCTTTTATGTTCGAGCGTTGGCAACTGAGTGATCTCCGAAGTCAACTTCGGAGGCGCAATCAGATCAAGTGTATAAGCGCCTACGCTTGATCCGTTATTGAATATGACATTCAATGTCTCTGTCATTTCCTGGGGACTTATTCCCTCAGGCCTCGAAGGACTTATTCCTTCGGCTTCCCGGGGACTTATTCCCGCGGGTTTCGGGGAACTTATTCCGCCGTATTTGTAATATCGGGACTTATTCCCTTTACTTCCTCTAGCTGGGGTTGCGCAACCACAGCGATATCCTCTACGAAAGACTCTCCAGTCGATCTAGGATTATCGTTTCGCTTAACCTGAGCGATCGATTGTTTCTCTTCTAGATGTTCCCCGCTAGGGATACATCTTTGTCCCGGTCCACTCGACTTATTCGAGTGGTGGACCTTCGGCGTAGCCTGTGTTTCCTCACAGCCGCCGGAATCTTGCTCCGAAGTGTAACTGTTTGTTACACTAAGGTTTTGTGCAGTCGTACTAAAGACCGTACCACAAGTGAGGCCATCGCACTCACTCGTAGTACATCCACACGCTTGTGGACGCTCCAAAACGTTCATTAGATGGCCATCTGATGAACAAGCGGCAGGCATCGTTACTGTTCGATGTTGCCAGTTTACTCGTGGTTCGTACCTTCTGAGCCACGGTATTCCAAGGATGACATCAAATTTGTCATCCAAATCCAATACGATAAAGTCATCGTCATATTGGGTATCTTCTAGCGTCTAGTGGATCTTCACTATACGCTTCATGAAGGTTACAAACGCGCCTGTCGCAAGACGTACCGTCATCCTCGTAGGAGGTGTGTCACATTCACTGAGCTTAAAGTGACCATCTTCTAGCGATTGGCGTCACAAAAAATTGTTGGACGCCCCACAATCGACTAGAGCTCGAAGGGACAAATTATTCGTCACTTCGAGTTTCAAGGTAATGAGTGAGACCTCATTACCTAGAGCAGTAACGCACAACGTTTGTGTGTTGGGAGCAACCTTTATCAAGAGGCCTACAAATTCTCTTGACGTTGCTTAACCAGTAGGGTGCTCCGCACCTACTGATCCTGTCCGTTTTTTGACGGTCCATCCCGTTGTTGCATCTCTGCACCAACAGCGGACCCGCGTCCCTTCCCCTTTCTCATGGGTGGACGGTCACTACGCCCAGTGTCGCGAGACACTGGACGAGGGGCACTACACTCGTAAGCGTAGTGTCCTTTCTTTTGACATCTGCTGCATCTCTGCAACTTCTTGTACCCTGTAGAGCGAGCCTTCTCGCTCTCAACATAACAGAGTTCCATCGGTTCTGGACCTCCGTTGTCATATCGTCTCGGTTGACGATATGATGTCGAGCTGGCGCGAGCCTGTCTCAGACTGAAGTCTTCCTGCTCCGCAATGGAAATGGCTTGTTCTAGTGAATCTAGTTCAAGCCGGAACAGGTGAGTCTTGACGGGACCATCCGCAAGACCCTGCATGAACACCGAAACCAACGTGTGTTCATCCACCGGATTGGAACTTATACAACTCGTGAGATGTCGTATATGTTGTGCGTAAGCGTGCACATCACGCTTACCCTGCTTGAGCTTCAAGAGTTCGGTTCGAGCTCTGAACTCAGCTCTAGGCGGTTCAAACGTTTGTCTGAGCCGCGACTTGAAGACTTCCAACGACCCAAACGCATATGGGTCGTAAAACTTGAGCCCCAATGCCCAAGTCTTGGCACGTCCTGCCAGATTTGACTGGGCAAATGCAACTTGCATATCCCCATCGTCGATGCGACGCGCCCTTATGGCGTCGTCTAATTCGACAAACCATCTCAAGAGGGAGTCTTCTTCGACCCCCCTATACTTAGAGATGTCAATCTTCAAAGTCTCGGGTCGACGCGAGTGCATCGACCCACCAGCAGCAGCCTGCTGCTGTCTCAACAGTTCAAACTGTTGAGCACCCTGTTCTCTCAACAACTCTGCTTGTTGAGAACCTTGTTGGTGAAGCAAGGCTACTTTCTCGCGTTCTGCGTCAAGTTCATTTTGAATGAACTTGGCGATAGTAGCATGTTGGGCATCTCTATTGAGAGCCTCTAGCATGACGCTAACAGCATGGATGCCCATGGTTGAACCCATTCGTTCAACCGCATCCCATTCGACATCGCTCAAATGGGAGTAGCCGTCACGCGTAGCGTGAAAGCTGTGGTCATCTTCATCATCTAACATATTCATGTTAAATGTGAACGTGGTCCTTGGACGGACTACGAAGTGCTACCAGGTGTAACGAGGCACCCTGAAGCTTATACAGGTGACAGTACAAGCTGCTTATTCTGATGGCAGAAAAAGGCGGTGCCTCGGAACTTCACGTACACTCGTACGTGCAGAGGAAGACGGTAAGAAGAAGCGAGTACTTGGTTAAAGTAAAAAGTAGAACTGTATATAGTATAGTTAATGTCTGTTAAATAATCACTATTTATCTTCATCTAACTATGTCTAAATACAAATGTGTATATCAGCTATCTGCTCACCACTCATTGCGTGCGTCTGTCGTGGCGCGTCTTCGTTGGTTGATATAATGGCCTATATCAACCAGTTAGGAACTGCTCGTAAGTGCTGCAGAATATTTGTCCTTATGACAATATTCTGAGAACATTACTCTCATAGTTACATTCTATTAACAATTTCTTATAAATTGTTATGTAACGATTCACCCGTTACAATATGCACATATGGTGAAGATACCGCGACGACCGTGTCCTCCAATTTCGATTCGAAGAAATTAAGCATTACAACGCGTGTGGCTCTCGGAATGGTGCACACCAGAAAACCGGGCGTAAAGGATAGAACCATGCCTCCCATAAATTAAGCTGCCAACGCCTCCTTCTCCAGCGGGATCATCGGTCTTAGGTCGTCGTCTGCGTGCTCCTTCCACACACGAGTAGGCGCCCGCTCTAGTACGCGGTTAAGTTGGGTGAAGAAAGACGGACCCCCATCCGTGGAACCGACGGGATTACGGGGACTCTTTCCGTCCGAGTCGCCGACACAATTACTCCTATCCATTTCGACGTCGCCATCTGTTAAGTGACTTTGCCCATCGGAGGGGGGGAATCGATAACCCACCTCACTGGGTTCATCAAAAGAACGCTGGCTAACTCTGCCGGGAAAAGCGTCGACGACAGCTGACGCGTACGTTCGCCGTCCTGGGAAGATCTCGCATGCTGCTGTGGCGAAGCGGTCACAAGAAAATTTCTATTGGGACTTGGATCGGCGATCGCACGGATCGCACGCTTCAGTTAAGCCAAGAATGCTATGATTGGTGGATACAGGCCGGGATGGGTGGCTGGCAGTAGCGTACCCAAATTTCGAGTGGACAGGATCGTTCAGTCTGGGACGAGGCTATAGGGTGGTCACACCCGTTTTAATTACGCAATCCGTCATGAGACGTGGCAAGACAAGATCCTCGATCTCACTGGAAGACCACGATCCTAACCTAGGACCGCAAGTCCGATCTCCAGCTGCGATCCGCTAGTAGGATCACGATCCGCTAGTAGGACCACGATCCGCTAGCGGGATCATAAGGATATCTTGGGTGGGCCACGAGAAGATATAATTGCTGATATACTGGGTGTGGACCACACAAATGCGAGAAGACGATCTTCCTGGAAAGGCAACGCGTGGCATCTGGTTAGGATATACGGATAGGCATAGGGGTAGGGCTTAGGTTGGTTGGTTAACATTAAACAGAGTTCAATTTACTTCACAAGGCACACGTTATCTCTTCCGGGTAGGATATTTGGCCCCTCGTCGAATAAAGAGTCACACTAAACGTCTACGCAAGTATCACCCCTGGATTGTTTTGGCCAGGTGTGTTCAAGAACTATTAAGCATTGTCAACTGCGATCGGACGCAGCAAAACACGTACAGGCAAGGCGCAAGATCGCGAGACGGCTCAAGTGGTCAGAAGGCTCGCGAATCAAGCAACCACATAGTGGACAAGGCGATCTCGGTGAGATTAGGGTAACATATATCAGTACCCACAAGTACCCCGTGATCGCGCGTAGATTTTCTCACGATCACAACCCCATCTCTAACACGATCAAGTTTTCCTTCGACACAAGTCCACCTGGAGAATTGCAACCTGCCCTACCGACGGTACACATGGTGAGGAAGGCAACACACACGGAATCGGAGTACCCCCTCCTTTAGTCGGTCGTCCACGCGCCAGTGGAGAGTTGGGATCTACTCATAAATTAAGCGACCGCCACTTCACAACACTGCAACTGTCGGCAGGATTTCGGGCCCGCCAACCACGTCTGGGGCTGGTCAGGATCCACGTGCCCTTATCCTTTCTGCAAATCATGCCTCCCCCCTTTCCCATGCTCGGGGATTCTTCCTTGTCGGCCCCGTCATGTGAACACCGGAACCACCACACTTAACGGCCTCCCAAGTTGCACGCTTAAGGCGAACGTCTCCTTCGTTTCCATGTCCTCCGATCTCGGTGGACGTCTTGTGCCCAGTAGAGCTAGTGATACTGCCATTGACAGCGCTCATAGTATAAGACACACTTCCTCGTGCCCCAATGATTTATTTGCGTGATAAGTCGCAAATCTGGAAGGGTTCGGGACCTTATAGGTGAGCGCGTGCCAGCATGATAAGTAGGAGTTGTTGAACTAGTCGTATCAAGGCGCACTCACATACAACAACGAAGGTCCATCGAAGTAGTCTTAACGTAGATTTGTACGGATAAGCCAAGCGGAAGTACTGGGTTGTCGTCGAATGTCGCTCGGTATGTGCAAGAATCGGCCGATAGAGCCTGGTACACAAATTTTATATCTAGCTCGTGCTTGTCGTAACTTGTTTGTTGAAGTGCAGGCATGTAAGCATCAAGCATGCGGTAGTCAATGCATAATCAAACAATTCTATCGCCGCGCTATAATCGCTTTATTCATTCCCAGCTTCTCACCTCTAAGAATAGGATGGAGTTTTCTTGTCATTGCTGCCCAGCTCTACAAGCAGGTCAATACTGCTCCATTTGTATATAGGAATTTGCGAAGCATCTGTGGGTAGTTACCGTATTTATTCGTAAATAGGAATTTGCAAAGCATCTGTGAATGATTACCGTGTTTAAAAAATTGTTGGTTCTGCAGCCGATTACAGCACATCCAAACTGTTACGGTCTACACCTATGTGATAGGTGTATCCAGGGATAAAATCTTGCTTGACCGGAAGCTATACGGATTTAAGCGCTGACTACCGCAATCTTTACGCGACCGACTGATGCCACGTTGTCGGTGCTGGTGCTAAGATCCCGAATCCTTGATAAGTCCGGTCCACCTTGCGTCCTATGCCGATACGCAGAGCGTTGCAAATTTGACACAACTTCAGACATCTGTGATATACTAGACATGCGGCAACACGATAGCTTTTTACAGTGCATGTTTTGTTAAGTGATCTTCGACAGTTAGTCCCCCCAATCGCGACGTCGGCCCGGACGTCGGCCCGCGACGTCGCAAACCGACCAGCATCATAAATGTATAGAAAGTTGATTAAATTGTCATTACGTGGGCTAATTGCACAAGTGCAAAATATGGCTATGAAAAACAGTCGTAATTGTCTGGAAAAATTTCCCTGTAGATGCACAATTTGCGCACGTCCTCTCCTCCATATCTTGCTGCAAAATTGCCATCTTAAATAGAAAACGTCTAATTGCTCAATCATAGAAAAATCTACCGCTCTTCCCGCAGTTCATCTTCCTAAGAAACAAGAGAAATAGTTTCATTATACACTGCACATTTGTTTGGCAATTTCCGGCAAGAGCAAATTCTCGCTTTATATATCGCTGTTCAGTAACACGACCTTACGTAGTCTAATGTGCCATGAGTAAGGAAAGAGCGATCGAGTACGGAGTAACATAACTTTTTAAGTTAGTACTGTTTGCAGTATAATTGCCCTAAGTGGTTAACATCGACATGCCCCAGTTGCTCGAAACTCTCCACGTTAAAATTATAATGGAACATTCTCCCTTGCTCGAGAGTCAAACTCGCGCTAGGGGTTGTCACAAACTGGTGGCTCTAATATCGAACGTTAGCCCAAGGCCAACACTTTGCGTCCTTATTCATTTTCAAACTTGTTTTGACACATTAAAAACAAAAGTTGTCATTATGTGTTGGTTTTAAGGCCATAATTTGGTTTTGTAGCAATTTTAAACTTCACGGCATACATCTATTCACTCCAAACACCAGATATTTATCATTGGGGGAGGCCGCGGTGTACGCACTAACAGCGGAAATTTATTCGCAACTACATAGTGCATTCAGAATAATTTAAACTACTACTAGATTTTTTCGAATGGAATGCATAACATAATAAACGGTTGTTGAAAGATGCATAACATGTTGGCGGACGTAGTCAACTGTAAAGAATTTCAAGCATTGTACAAGAGATTGAGTAACAAATAATAGTGAATTGGGTATACAAACCTTTTTCTAGTGAAAAAAAAAGATGTATTTCAATAATGCCCTCGTAATATCCTTAAGACCCAGTCAAATTAAAATTCAACTTAGCAATTTTATCTTTGCTTTATGTATTTGAGTCATTAAAATGTTCCTATATTTTAGTCCTGGCCTAATTAAACTAATTTAAAAAAATGTGTGCTGAAGTCTTGCTCATCACCTATTGCGCGCGTCCATCACTGATTGGGCCGCTATAGCTGACTAATATAATGAACTATACTAGCCAATAGATTAGGGCTTTTAAGATGATAACCTAATTAATGTTTACAAAGATTCCTTTACTTTTTGATAATATTCTAATTTATAAGTGTCAAGGGTAAATTACGTGTAACATGATTACTCCATACTAACACTGTCCCCCCTTAAACGGTAGCTGATCAACAACCATCATGTTTAGTGTGGTCACAGCTCGACTGTATGAAGGACAGGGAGCACTTGTTTGGTCAAATCCACTCAAATTGGATGTATTATTGCAATGGGATTCTTCGCCATGTAATACGCGGCGAAAGCTGCTGTAGCTTTAGCTGCTCGAGTTGACGCAGCTTCTCATGACAATTCGCAGACCGTGCGGCAGAAGACACTTCTTCTGCAGATTCTACATTATTACCTGCAACACTTCTTGCTACAGATGCATGTGGTGAGTCACCTCGTGCTAAAGAAGATCACTTTCGAGTGGAGATCATCTTTGCATGGTGAGTTGGACGGTGGGTCCAACTCAAGGAGGGCTAATCGGCTGCTTGGATCTCCCGGTACGGCATAGTACGAGCCCTTTCACAATACTCGGTATAATAATTCGACTCACGATCACTACCGGTGTCTGTTTATTACGTGATATGAACGTCATAATTATTCCCCACCAAATGCCACTGAGCACCCGCTGGCTAGCGAATGCGACGATAACTCGCGCCATCGTGGTGATGCTAATTGTGGTACCAAGACCTTCGTTAATAACACAAAGGATACTCTACACTGCGATGTGTCGCGTCCAGCTCCTGAGCACTACTCTCGGTTTTTTTTAGAAAGGATCGTGAATAAGCTGTCAGATAAGACAAGCTCTCACCATCAAAATCTTTTAATATGATGCGAGGCTGTTGCACGGCCATTACGTAATCGCAAGTAGCTGTTGCGCTAATGAAGACTTTCATCTCGATGCTTTTCGAAAGCATCGGTAGTACAGTGTCAACCATTAAGGAAACAAAAGCTCCTTATTTCTGGCGTAAATCGATTTGGTACTGAATGTGCAACACATTGGGCGCTAAAATTGGCTTAAAAACTTATCGCGGCGCGCGTTAGATTTATATAGTAAACTTTTCTGGCGCAAAAGCTAAGTAGCATCATTTTCGTGCAAGTTGGATTTTCTTGGCCTCACGTGGGGAGACCCATGACCGCATTGTATCGACAACACGAAGCGCGCTCATTGAAAGATGTAGTCTCTCTTTTCTCCTTAGTTGGACTCACATCTCGTTTGAGGAGCGCGGTGCAATTTCAAGTTTTCAATCGATCTACAAGCGACACGACCGCGTGTTTTTTATGTTCCTTGTGAGTCAT